TTATAAACATTAACATTTATGGCTTAATTGTCTATTTACCTTAGTTTTAAACATTGATGCTGGTAATTTCAATAGAAATCCCCTTTTTTTGCACCAATCTGAGTAGACAACAGGGCCTGCAAATATTTGACATGCTTTGAGAATAATATGAAAGGATCTTTAGAGATGTGTATTTTAAAAATACAGCTTTGGTGTATGACAAAGACTTTATTGTGAGATTAGCCCTTGCCCTTTCTCCAAATATATTGTAGCACTAAGTTCTGTTCAGGTTCCTGAAGTAACAATACTGCTGGGGGATAACGAAACCCAAGGCAAGGAATAAAAGTGAGCCATGTAGTACCTGATAGTCACCTGCTTCCCAAAATAGCCTGGGACAGGTTCTCTCTTGGTGTAAAACAGACCAGCTCCTGAGCATGTGGCCCGGTATGTCTGCGGAGCAGGTAGTTGCTGTCGGAGAGGTCAGTACATGCATCAGACAGATCAGGTGTAGATCAGATATGTATCTTTGCACTGCAAGATCTCAGAAGATGTTTCCAGTTAACTTTCAGAGCAGCTGCTCCTCAGGACAATGTGGTGTTATATTTAGAAGTGCAGACTGGTCACCTGATGGTGTCCTGATTTAAGAATGATCAGGTCTGTGCTCATCATTCATCTCTTTGAGATGAAAAGGGAAATAGCCAAAGAGTTGGCTTGGCTCTGGCACCACTAAAGAAATTCTTGTTTTAGTATAAACCACTCTTTATAAGATAGCATTTTTCCCTACCGTGTCTAACTTCAGTCTGAGAAGGAAGCTAACACGAAGAGTAACAGTCGTGAGTGCACTGCGGTCACAAATGATTTAGCAGCTTACACAGATTTTTTTTTTCTTTTCTCTTCTTCTATCTGTGTTGATAAAATCGGAGACCCGGTGGCTAGTACTGATTTAGACTTCCAGCCTGGATTTGCTCTTGTTTTTTTCTTACTCCAGTTCTCCTTGTGCAGTGCTGCGTGGCGCTGGCAGCCTGAGAGAGAGGGAGCTCCAGTCACACGCATAGACTCAGACCGCGGAGAGGAGATTAACATCAAGGAGCCCACATTTGCAATAGCGGGTGGTGCTGGGGGAATGGGGGGGAGAGGCGAGGGGAAAATAAAATAAAAGCAACAATCGGGTAAATGCTCGTCTCTTCTCGCCACCAGCACCTTGCACAGGTCTGAAATCGCTTGTTTTGCTTTGCTGTATTGCGCTTGCCTGGGCTGTGGAGAGGGGAGGGGGAGGGGAGGAAGGGGGAGGTTTAACTTTTACTTGACATTACCGGGTTATTGTCACTTCCCCCGTGTTAAACCCCGGTGGTTTCCCCTCGCCCCCACCCCCTCCCCGTGCTCGGCTCCCTCCACTTAACTTTGTTCAAAGGGCTGCAGCCAGGAGGGCTTGTCCGGGCCTGGGACACAGATAGCGTAAAGTAAATAACCACCACAATTAGGCTGGGGCCGGGAGTTGATCTTCGTGGCGAGAGATCTGCTTAGTTAGCGTTTGCTGTTTCGGGGCGATTGAAGGCCGCCGTGCCAAGGACAGCGCACGCACACACACACACACGCACACACACACACACACTCACTCTTACACACGCACGCTGGATACAAAAGTCTGGAGGATCTAGGGGAGAATTGCAGCCGCCGGATCGGTGCAGCAGCGGCGGCCAGAGCCATGCGTGTCACGGCCTCCTGAGGGGGAAGGAAGGAAGGGAGAAGGAGGAAAAAAAAAAAAGAAAGAAAGAAGAAGGAAAAAAAGAAAAGAGGAGAAAGAAGCAGAAGAAAGACGCGGTGGTGGAAAGTGTTTGCCTGCTTTGTTCGCAATACAGTGACTGGAAGATGGAGATGGATGTAAGGAGTTTCTCGGCCGGAGCCATCCCGGCCGTTGGGGGCTGCCGCGCCGCACCACCGCGTACGCCGATGGGGCCCGCGGAGGCACGCGGCGAGAAAGAGGACAAAAAGTAGGTCCGCTGCCGCCGCCGCCGGCGCGCGCCCGCAGAGGCCGCCCGGCCTGCGGCGGGCGGGCGGGGCGGGCGCCCCGGCCGGCGGGGCGGCCCCGCGCCGCCTTTGTCAGCCGGCGGCGCGCGGAACACGGGGCGGCGGGCGGGCCGCCCGCCCCCGCCGCCGGGGGCGGCGCCGCCGTTCCGCCTGCCGGGGGGGCCGCACTTGAGGGGCCGCGACGGCGGGGCCGCCGCTCCCCCTTCGGCTCCCCTCGGCTCCCACCCGGCGGCGAGGGGCGAGTCACCTGGGGGAAGGAGCCCGGGCGCTGTGTCCCTCCAGCCCTGCTGTGTCATTGCGGACCGGGGGACGGCTGCTCGCTGCCGAGTGAGAACCTGCGGGTGACGGAGTTCAGCGAGAAATGGGTCAGATCGCACCCTTTGGTGCGGATGTGTCTGCTGCCGGGAGGATCGAAAGTAGAGAGGATGGGATGGAAAAAGGTTGCCATTAAGATAATGTCAGCGGAGTGCATTGATCAGTGCTTTTGTCTGTGGGCACTGTCTTCATTTCCATTCATTTTTCTCGGCATGGGTTTGCTAAACTGAAGCCGATGAATTCTACTGTGTCTGTAGGTCTGTAACAGGCAGAGACTGATAAATGTGTAAGTTTCATCGTAATCCGGTGATGGTTGCAAGGTGTGATCCGTGTGTGCTAGACTGTAAAACCCATCCGTTTATATTTTAGTGAAATCCTAGTAATTCTCTGAATGCACAGATACCCTCAAACAGATTATAATTCTAAAGTAAATGTAAAAAAGAAATGCAGTGTACTGGATTTGAGCCGTGTATCTTCAACTAGTTTTACTATAGTTTGATTTTGTTACAAATGTGTAAGGGAACAGTAACACAATGAAGGAATGTAAACCAGCAATGCAATAAATCAATGCAACAACTATGTCACACCACATATTTGCATGACTAGAGCTCCAGTTATCTTGGGAAATACAAGGTGTTTTTTAAAAATTCTATCTGTAACTGTAGATCCCGAGTTTTCAGCATTTGCCTCCTACACTTCTAGGTTTGTTACCGTTCAGTAAAATCTGTTCTATTGTTTTAATTAAAAGAGAGTATCGATGACGGATCATTTGAACAGGCCCCGTACATTTTAAGAGGGTGGATGGATGCAAGGGCTTTGTTTATAAAATGGTAACTGATGGTTTGCATATTGTGATAGATGAACACAGAATTTCATCTCCTTTGAGTTTATGAATATTTAATTCTGTCGTGACTGCATGCTACTGTACGCAGTTGAATGATTTGTGTGTGCTTGATTGTTTCTAGGATCCCTTCCCTTGCATTGTGTTACTTACTGAAACTCGAAATTATTTTATTTCAAAATAATTAAAATGTAGAGCCAAGGTTGCCATTTATATATGACTTCGTTGTGCCACTGCCTCGAGCATTTAAAAACCCTACCATCAGCAGAAATCCATGCTCAATAGTTACTTTCTGATATACCACACAGTCTGTCTAATGTTTTACCAATCATGGTAAAACAAGGAAGGCAAACAAGGTGTGACTGAAGGTGAATGAACACCAGAGAAGACCTGATTCTCTGTGGTGTGGCTAATTAACATGTTAAGATGACTCAGTATTGCACTGTTTTATTCTCTATTTACCAGCATTTTCTGGACATGGAAAAAAAGTACTACCTTTTTTTTATTTTTTTTTTTGTGTGTGTGTGTCCTAGCTACAGCCATGCTAAAGTACTGTAATATACTTCTCTTTTTTAACTCCACAATTAAATCCACAATTAGCTTTTCCAAGCTTGCCATTGCCAAGGTTGTTGCAATGACTAGCTTGTATTTTTCGGAAGTGCTGTGATATTTCAAACCTCCCTAAATGTATGTATCTTTCCTAGATGCTGTCCCAGGACAACTAGTGCTTCTTATTACTGCAGAACTATTTCAAATATCTGGTAAAATAGTGGCATCAGAAATATAATGAGAAGGGGAAAACCCATTAAAATGATAGTAAAATCCAACATTATTATGGAAAAAAACCATCAACCACAAAACTAGACTGAAGCATTGCTGGAAACATCATCTAAGAACTTTCTGAATGGAATGAAATAACAGTATCATTGTTTATTTGACCCTTAAACGAACATCAGAGGCACACTGATACATGCTAGAAGTGTGAGTGCTCTACCTGCAAATCATACAGGACATTAGAACTTGATTTCCTGACAAGTGTATAGTTATGAATAACTAACTATTAAGATCTTGCAATGTCTCACGATTTCACTGTCAATTTGCTTTTGGGGGATCGTGCTTCAATTATAAAAAAATCTTATATTTAATCATTGAGCTCCATTTCAGTAGAGGTAAAAAGAGTTTTACTTGAATCTAAATGGAACTGGGTCAAATTTATGTTCTAATAAAGGTATTTTTGTCACAGCATCCAAACAGAATATTGCTGAATTAAACAAAGCAAGTATTTTCTTAAGTCTGTGGAATCTCAGTAGAAGCTACTACCATAGTCTCAATTATATGGGTATTAGAGGGATTTTTTTCCTACTGTATGTTAATTTTTTTTTAATTATCTTTGAACTTCAATAAACTTTTGAAACATATGTGTAACTTGAAATATATCCCACTGTCTTCAGCTGGGATGCTGACATGCCGAAATGTGTGCTTAAGTGCTTTGTTGGAGGAAAACCTAGGTTACTTCTCATATATCTTTTTGTGTTGAAACTGTCTCTAACAGATACATGAGAAGAGAAACTATGAAGATTGACTTTACAATATATTAAGTATACAGTAAAGCATAGTTGCCATTTAGGTGGGAGAAAATTAAGCAGAAATAGTAGAGTACAAGATTTAGAAAACAGCTGACTCTATGTGGATACTATTTTTTCTCTTAAAGCAAAACACATCAGAAAATGTTTTTCAACACTCCTACAATGTTTTCTGTTATTTTAGTTAAAAGCCTGTGGGTCTAACCCTGTATACAGCAGCATGTTGATATTTTCCAGTATGGCAATGTGAGTGACTGGGGGAGAGAACAACGTGCAATCCTGGCTGTTCATTCCTGGCTGGAGGTGCAGCTGATGCCTGTGACAGGTTGTGTGGGTGAGTTTTCACACCATCTTGCCACTCTGTGACTCAGTGCCAAGGGACACAGGCCCCTAAACTTTACCGAGGATTCTTTCCAGCTTATATTGTAGTGATTGCATCTTTGCAAGGATCACTGTAGGGAACACTTTGGGAGCAGAAGGCAGCTCTGCAATTCCTTTGCAGGCTGGTGACTACGAGTGACGTTTGTCACAGCTGATGTTATGACCAGAATTTTCCCAGGGGTGGTACCCTGAGCTAGGACTTTCAAATCGTTGGCTACAGCCAGTCTGTTACAGTGTTTTCATTTTCCAAAGCACTGTGTAGCCCCTAAGTTCTCCAAAGTTGGTTCGTGGTATGGATTTGGTAATGTAATGTTGCATACTGAGGGGGACCTCTGTATCTCTGTGGGATGCACAAATCATTTAGCACAAATGATTTACAAATGATTTACAGAGTTTTCACTTTATGCCCACTTTCCAGATATAAACCCCTCTGAAACAGCTCCAAAGTGAAGAACTTTCTGTGTATTTACATGGAAATGAGCACACCGAGGTTATGGCAAAAGCAAGCCTACCTGGGCTGGGTACATTGTATTCTGGTTCAAAACCAATTTGCCAGTGTTTGATACAAGAGTTCTGAAGTGTTTTATGGGCTTATTTGTATGTTATTTCCCAGGATGCTCACCTTTGAGAGCACTGTGTGAGAGTCGTTCCCAGGTGTGAGCTTCTAGAGGGGAAAAGCTGAGTGCTTTGGGGAAAGGCACTTGGTGTTAACTTGGGAATTCTGTTCTGCTGTACGCGTGATCTGATCTAATCATCAGTCTCTGAAAGCCTTCTGCTAGTGTATTTACAAGTATACTGCTAACAACAATATGGTGGTTGTTCACTCATCATTCACAAGCAATAGGTCAGGAATAGTGGAAGACACTTCAGAGGCAATTCTTTTTTTAATAATTTCTCATATGTATTTAATTTTGTTAGATTTGGAAAGCTATATGTTACCGTGTGTTTACATTTAGAGAGCAGAAGGCTTAAGAAATGCAGTTTATGCTTGAAGCAGACTGTGGGAAGTTTCTTTTAGGGGGTAGATCACTCCAGTCTTGGGTCAGATGTGCTTATCTTACCCTAGGCAGTTACATTGTGCACAGATGAGTAGTTGTCAACCACTGTCTGTTTTCTGGAGGTTTGAGTGCCTTTTTTTCAGATAATCTGAACCCTTCCCATTGAGCAACCTGAAGTTAGGAACCAAAAGCTGAAAGTGAAATCAGTAATGGATACAAGGAACCAATATGGGGTGAGTGGGACAAAGAAAGCAGAGATAGACAACACTACCACTTGCTGATGGTAGCAGCTTCTCCTGATTACAGTATAAAAGGCAACATCTTGTATTAGTTGGAATTTCCAAGTATGGAAGGCTTTGTGCCAAGTGTATCATGGGCTATGGTCTTGCCAAGATGTAATGCAGGCATGAATAGTCAGGGTCTGGCCGTTGTCTGCCTGGATGGACAAGTTCTTCACTACCCAGACATGGCAAAAAATTATACTTGAGGCTGTTGCTATTCTGGGAGTTTGATGTGAGACAGAAATTTCAGTGTATCTCTGAAGTGAAGACAGAGGTGGAGAATAATGTGTCTTTCTTTAAATCATTGCTAAGAAGATTTCAGAAATCATTCCTCAGCCCAGCAACATCAACTCTGTCTTTTCAGGTCCACTCTTAAGCACCTATTCTTCATTCTTAAGCTGTTCCCAGCCATGCTGTGGGCCATCATGATATTGGTATTGATCTGCATAGTTCAATGTCTTCCTGAGGAAATGGTCTGAAAAAAAGCTATTACCCTGTTCTTCCAGAGTTCCCAGAACCTGGTGGCTGCCTGGGTGGTGAGCCACCCAGTCCCAAAGCCAAAGACTCAGGACATTCTGAGTCCCTCATATTCAGATGCTTGTCCTACTCATTCCCAGGTCACAGCTCTGGAGCAGGCTCTAATTCATGGCACTGTGGGGAGACTCCCAGACACATCTGCCTGGAATGGTTGCCCAGAGCCACAGTGCCTGGCAGGTGCCTCTGGAAGGGATATTTTAGTCCTTTGTATTGCTGATGCAGGCAGCAAAGCTATTAACTGTGCCATTAACCTGTTTCGGTGAGCAAGGCCCAAGGGCTATCTGCTTTGAGGAGACTAAATAAAAAATTCAGATTAAAAAAAATCAAAAAGAGGAAATTCACTGTGAACTGAAAACCTTGCTTTGCAGGCAGGTCTACTTCTGCATTTCTATGCATTTCATGTACTCTGCCTCTCACTCTTCTCTTGCCTTCTAGTGAGAGGATGAATCCTTAGATGAACTGATAATTGTGCCTCTGTTGCAAAAACAAGCAGATTGGAAGAATAGAGAGAAAGAGAGATACTGTTAGTACCTAAAGTGAAGGCTAGACTAACAAGCTCATATTTTATTACACATCAGAGAATCCGAAAGGAGAAAAGATGTTGGAAATCAGGCGCCATCATTTTCATATCTCTGAAATTACTTTTTGTCTCGTATTCTGTGAATTCTTTTTCCTACATGGCCAGCAGGTCAAGGGAGGTGATTCTCTCCCCCTCTGCTCTGCTCTGGTGAGAACTGCTGGGGCCCCAGCATAAGGAGGACATGGACCTGCTGGAGCAAGTGCAGAGGAGGTCACAAAGATGATCAGGTCGCTGGAGCACCTCTTCTATGGTGACACGCTGAAAGAGTTGTGGTTGTTCAGCCTAGAGAAGGCAAAGCTCTGCAGAGACCTTACAGCAGCCTTTCAAAACATTAAGGGTGCCTACAAGAGAGCTGCAAAGGGAATTTTTGCAAGGGCATGGAATGATAGGACAAAGGGAAAAGCTTTAAACTGAAAGCGAGTAGCTTTAGATTAGATATTAGGAAGAAATTCTTTCTTTTGAGAGTGGTGAGGCACTGCAACAGGTTGCCCAGAGAAATTATGGATGCCCCATCCCTGGAAGTGTTTAAGACCAGCTTTGAGCAACCTGGTATAGTGGAAAGTGTCCCTGCCCATGGCAAGGAGATTGGAACTAGATGATCTTTAAGGTCTCTTCCAACACAAACCATTCTAAGATTTTATGATTCTATGATATGGGAAAAATCTTACCTTAAGTAGATGTAAACAGTAGATTAACATTATTATCATACTGAATCCAGAACACAACACTGTACCAGCTACTAAGAAGAAAATTAACTGTATCCCAGATGAAACCAGTGCAATATGGTAAATACACATGTAATACATATTCATTTGCAGGTGGTATACTGAGGATCTGGAATGTGGAGAATGAGGTTCAGCATGGGTTTTATATTAAAACATAAAGTTGGAAAGTGAGCAATTGATTTCTCTGTGCCTGTGTCTGTACTAAAACAACATACATGATGGTGCATGTGAATGATTCTTTAAAATTTTACTAAACACAAGATTTCTGAAAGAAGAAAACACTATTTAAAATAGTTGTCCCCTTAAATAATTTGTATGAGAAATGTTTTGGCAAAGTGTGAACAGCTGTTTAAATTTTTCAACCGATTGATCAATAAGTGGATGAAGCTTGAAAAGGTGTTCACACTCTGACTGGTTCCTGGGGTAAACATTGAGATATTCATTGTAATAGAGAGATTTCATGAAAAGTAAGTAGTGCTTAGAGTTAATACAAAGTGAAATTAAGTGCATATGTAGTTGATTAGGTAACAAATCCAGGGACATAAACAATGAACATCATGGGTGGGAGCTAAACAACACTCTTGAGTCATTGGCTGCACAACCACAAGTTTTGTATGCAGAAGACACAGAATTGACTCTCTGGCTAAAGGCAATTTTGTCTTGGCTGCAGAACAGTTGTGAGGATTCCTACTTGAAGGAAGACACAGCGCTGAAAAGGGCTTTGTTATCTCCTCTTGAGCAGTTGGGACATTGCCTTGACTCAGATGCAGTGGTATGTGTTCATGCCTGTGTGCTGAGACTGGAAAGCAGTTCTATTCAGGGCTGCATATGACAGCCGTGAGCTTGGCCAATGTGTGGCATATCCTTCCCACTTAAGTAGAGCTTGTTCTCAAAAGCCCAATATTCACAGGAATTCCTGGCCAAGGGTTGAATGCCAGCTTGTAACAAATCTGAGTCTTCAAACAATGGATAATCAATGAAGCTAGAAACGAACAATAACCATGTTGTTGCATGCTATTCCCAGTGTTTTCCTAGATGCTCTCTGTGTTTTTAGACCATCTCTATCTGTGGTAAAAACTTACTGTGTCATACTGCATCCTTACGGCACAATAATTTTTACTGTATCAAGGTTATGATTTACTTAATTGCCTAAGTGTGCTGGTTTAAAGGTAAACCAGCAGGGGAAATGAAGCCAACTCAAAATAGAGATTATAAGTCAGAATAACAATTTAATAAAATAATACAATTAGTACGATTATACAGACAAACAATGGGTTTTAACCCACAAAACCCAAATGCATAACCCAGCACCCTGGGGCATGAACAGAGTGGTGTTCTTTGGCCCCCCTGAGTCCAAAGTAAAAGGAGAGGGGAAAACCTGTTGGTGAGAGTGCTGTTGCAGTCTGGTCAAGAGTGGTGATTGAAGTCCAGTCGAGAGTGGTGGTCTCAGTCTGGTTGAGAGTAGTGGTCTGCAGTCTTCCTCTGGATCCCACGAGTGGTTAAAAAAGTCCCAGGACCCCAAGATTATGTATCTTCCAGTTCAGGCGGGAATGTCCAGTACGTCCCTCAGGGCGGGGAGTTCCACAATGGGTGTGAGGACAGGGAGGCACCCTCCTATCTTGCAGGCCTCTTAACACCCAGTTTATAGCCTGAGGAGTCAGGCTACTCTGGGCAGATGGTGTAAATGGTCTATTGATAACAGTTTCTGGGAAATGGCATGGAAGGCTATAGAATGCACACTTTTGGGTTATATCCATACAGTGATGAACTGGTCCCAGCTGTTCTAACTAGGACACTAAGCTAAGAGAGACATATAGTTACTGTATGTAACT